CCCTTCCCTGATTTGAATTGTGAGCCGCCCTGAGTCCCCTTTGGAGGAAAAGGGCGGCATATAAATGTAATCAAATCAAATCAAATCAATCAATCCCTCTTGTCAAATTTGGTGTGATGGAGCAACCACTTGTTCCGGGTATTGTCTTAACTACCCTGTTGAGCCTTTGAGGAGGAACTAGGGTGGAACCAGCCTGAAATATTCATGATAAAGTCTGGGGAAGGGGAAAAAAAGAACTATGTCACTTTAAGAACCAGGTGGGAGGCGGCACAGTATAAGCACTCGAGTTACCTGTTTGCATGGTTATGACAGCTATTTCCCAACCATCGGTCTCTGAGTGAGAGCAAGACTTGCTTGGATCTGTATGGCTTTATTCCGCAGATGGAGCACAACATCCTTCAAAGTTGGGGAAAGTTTTGTTCCTGTTTAGTTGCCTGAATGAAAACAGAAAAAGCACCTTTGAAGTGGTCACAGACACCTTTCTTCTATCTAAAAGGTGAAAACAGGTGAAGGTAAGCAGTTGTTTCCTATAGTCTTACCTGTGGGTTAGACTAGCCTTTTAACCATCCTTTTTTCCAAATGTCCCATTTAGAAGAAATACGTGGTCTTTTCTCAAAGTGAAAATATCTCTGTTTTTCCTAAGTTTGCTGAAGAGAAATATTTAGTAGGTTGGGTTTTTGGGTGAGGTGAAGGAAAATCCCTTTTCACCTTCAAATTTCTTATTAAGCTACAGCTAGTAAAAGAAGGGGAATGTGAAAGGTTTATTTTATTTGTTAAAAGGTTATTTATATGATCTGAAAAGAAACTAGAACTGATTAGTTCGAATGGAGTATTTAAACTCTTCTTAAAAATTGCTCATCAATAGGTAAATGTATAGTTCTAAAGAACCAGTTTGGTATCATGTTTAAATGGGGAGACAGTTTGGCATCAGGCTAGAAACTGAGATACAGTGAATTCTAGTCCTTGAGCACAAATCCAGCTGGGTGATCTTGGGCCAGTCATTCTGTCTGAGCCTAAAAAGGAGGCAGTGGCAAACCACTTTTGAAAAACCATGCCAAGAAAAAGGCAGAGATTTGTTCAGAGAATCAAAAGGAAGGAAAATAATGTAGTGATACTCAATTGTCTACACAATTGAACTTGGAATTATTTGGAACTATTCAATAAAAATAATGATTCCCACTGCCCCCACCCCCCCCAAAAATAGAAGAGAAATGTTTTCTCTGCATCTGTTTATGCTTTCTTTTTAAAGTATGTCATCCAGGGCCAGGCCACCAACATTATCTTGCCATTTGCCACTCTTTTACTGAAATGAGCATTTATCTGTTCCAGAATAGTGCAGACATTCTAATGCAGCATTGCAAAATGTTTAACTTGATGCTATTCCTGAACGACCTGGAGTTTAAGGGGATGAGACAGGAGCTAGCTATTCATCTTGTGGGGAGAAATGTCTCTTTGTCAGAAACAGAGCAGGTTGCCCTCAAGTGAGATACTTTCCCCCTTGCTTGGGTCTCTGCTCCACCAGCCACACACTGGCTTAAAAGTACTTTGTACAAAAGTACAAAGTGGCTAAAAGATTCAAAGAGTTTTGTACATTTCAAATGTGTTGTTATTATAAAACCAGTCAGTTTTGCTTGTATGGAAGAGTTAGTAAAAGCAAAATATTTAGATCTGTACAGCCCAGGGAAGAATAGTGAGATGATAAGATAATCTCACTTTTTTTCACATTGGCACACATTAAAAAAAATGAAATTCTGATGTCCACCCTCAAAAGAATATATATGCTGTATATATACATATACATTAAGGTGACCAGATTTTCAGATTGGAAAAGAGGGACACCCTTGACCGGGGGGGGGGGGGGGGGGGGGGGGGGGGCTTGATTAAAAAAATTTTTTTTTGTCAAAAGGTCACCCCAGGACACTGAAACCAGCATAAATACGA